GGCCTTACCCTAAACCAATGTCACAAATACAGGGATTTTCTCAGTTTTGTTTGCTGTTTTAATAGTGCTTGACAATGTGTGGTACTCACCTTTGCATAGTGGCAGTATCGTAGCCAATGAGGTTTATCCAAGGCACAAGTATTGCTAATGGAAAACAATATGTGGTACGCAGAAAACATTTGTTGAATGAATGAATGAACAATATCATTTTTACCTGAAATCCAAGAAACATACCAAGCTCCTACTCCCAGGAGCTCTTTTTTTTTCCTTTTTGCAATAAATAAACCTTTCCAGTTTCTGAGGTGCTAAAGATAAACTGTGGGTCTCCTTCTCCTTTTTTTTTTTTTTTTGGTACTGGGGATCGAACTCGAGTCCTTGCGCTTGCACAGCAGGCAGCGAAACTACTGAGCTAAATCCCCAGCCCTTGGGTCTCAATAACAACTAGAAGATACTCAACATGTGCTGTGAGCAGGGAGAGGCCTTAGGCAGTGTCTGATGATATCACAAGAAATGAGGGGTCATGGGCAGACACAGGTTCAGACAAGCTCTAATCTCTATGAGATTAATCATAATCATGATTAATCACATCATAAGGCCTGGAGCATAATGAGAAAGCAGCTATATATTAAACAGTTACCTTGGTTTGAATATTTAAACAAAACCCAAATGTACAATGTGCAAACCTATGTATCATTCTTTTCTAATAAGTCCTTCAGTGTATCTGTTCTGAATCAGTCCAAAGCAATTTTTTGCTTTATATATCTGAAAAACAGTGATACATTTAGATGGATGAAAACTACCAGGTCAGATATTCAAGGAACCATTTAGAAAAGGAATAAGGAGCATTAGGTACTTGGAAAGAACAAAGTAGCACAGAATCACAATATCTTAGAGTAACTCTTCTTTGTTGTTGTTTTTTGAGACAAGGTCTTACGATGTAGGTCAGGATAGCCATAAACTCACAATCCTCCTGCCTCGGCCTCCTAAGTGCTAAGGCTACAGGCATATGCCACCACACCTGGCTTGGGTATCCTTTTATATCAACAACCCTCCATCATATCACTGACTAGTGGCCATTCAGCCTTTACAGAACTTTTCAGTGACAGAAAGTTCAACACTCGCAAGACAGATCTGGGCAATTTTAATTGCTATAGTAATTCTTTATATCAAGTTCAGAATCTGCATCACTATCATTCATGGGTTCTGGCTCTACCTTGTGGAATGGTATACCCCACAGTCCACCTCCTCTGTTTTCCACTTGGCATATTCCCCAAATATTTGATATTTATTCTAAACATCTCTTTTCCAGCTTCACCTTCTTGATTCACTCCTTTTAGAGATCCTGGGGAACTTAACCCTAAGGATATGATAAGTAATGGCCATAGATTCTGAGTATGGGGCAGGGCCAATGGAAGAGTTTGGAAAACATGCTTTTATAAAGAGCACATGCAATAACCTTAGCCTCTCTTCCACCTTCATCTTCTACTCAGGTTTCTCAACAATGCATTACAGACACTACTCTTTTAGCGACCAAGTTCAGTTCCTGCAACTAGGTTGTTAAATGAATTGGTCGCTAAATGAGGAACTGTATATAGGATGTACATTACAAGATGCAGAACCAAGGGCTGGGGATTTAGTGGTGCAGTCACCTGCCTCACAAGTGCAAGGTCCCGAGTTCGATCCCCGGTACCAAAGGGAAAAAAAAAAGATTCAGAACCAAGAAATGGTCAAAGGAAACTCCAACTTGATGACTTTGCTTTTATTTGCCTAACATGCAATACTGTAATGTATAACAGAACATAAAAGTGTAGTACTGTACAGTACAATCAGCAAAAATCACAGTACTGTATAAACAAGGAACTCTGTACCCCCAAAAAGACACTGAGGCTCTATAAACAAGATGTACAGAACTGTACCAAAAAAAAAAAAAAAAAAACGTCGTAAGTCCGAGCAGCAGTCATAAGTCTAAACAGCATGCCTCAGTTGTAAGTCCAAACAGTTATTAAACAGGCAGGTCATTAAATGACGAATGTCTGTATTCATATTGGAGGCCAGATTATTCTTTGTTGTGGGAACTGAGCATTGTATGGTGTTGGACAGCATCCCTGGCCTCCACCAACTAGATGCCAGTAGCTCTTCCCTAGATGAGACAACTAAAAATGTCTCCAGCCATTTTCAAAGGTGGAAGGGAGAGGCAAAATCGCCCTCACTTTAGAACCACTACTCTCTATCCATTGACTGTTCACCCATCAACACACAAAACTCTCCTCTCCTGGTTTAACTGGTAACTCTCCAAAAAAAAATTCTACTTGTGTATCACAATGGTGTTTAAAATTGTAAAAGTTTTAAGTTTTCTAATGGTACAATCATCTGTATGTTTGTGAGGGACTGATTTCAAGAACCTTAGAGATACCAAAATCACAAGTTACTCAACTTTAGTATAAAATAGCATACAACCTCCCATACATCCACCCATATACCATACTTTGAATCAAATCTAGATGATTGGTAATACCTAATACAATGTAAATGCTATATAAATAGTTGTTATACTGTATTGTTAGGGAATATAGGGCAAGAAAAAAGTGTACATGTTCAGAATTCACATATTTTTTTTCCTAGGTGGTGCTGGGGTTCAAACTCATGTCCTTGCACTTGCTAGGCAAGTGCTCTACTACTGAGCTATACTCTCAGCTAAGTACTTTCAATCCAAGGTTGACTGAAACCACAGTTGCTCAAAGTGTGGACAAGAAGGGTCAACTGTATTTGATAAAAATAAAGCACTTTCTCCAGATGTTAAGAACTTCTCATGTAATCAATCCAAAACATTTACCTTATCTCCCACCACAGGCACTTCAGACTACAGAAAAGATCTGACATCTATTTTTCAGATCTGTTCAAAAAGTACGGATAGTATAGTTCTTTTTGTTTTTTACAACTTGAACATCTGGATTCAAGTCAAATATTCAGCTTGACCAGGGCTATGTGAGATAAGCCACATAACCCAATCACTTCATAGGTGTAACAGAACCCTTACTGAGCACTGTGATGCCTTATTACTACTATTCAGCAATTTAAGTATCTGAGAAACCACTGGAGGTAAGTGGGCTGCAAGAATGGTGGGTTCAACCACCAACAGAGCTAAGAGACAACCTATAATATGGGAAAAAATTTTTAGCAGCTGTACCTCAGACAAAGGACTACTATCTAGAATATATAAAGAACTTAAAAAAATCAGACCCCCCAAATTCAAAGACCCAATTCAAAAATGGGCATCTGAAGTGAACAGACATTTCTCAGACAAGGAAGTGAAAGCAGCAAACAAATATATGAAAAAATGTTCAACAGCACTCGTCATTCAAGAGATGCAGATGAAAACAACACTGAGATTCCACCTCACCCCAGAAAGAATGGCTATCAAGAAATCAACAAATAACAAATGCTGGCGGGGTTGTGGGGAGAAAGGAACCCTTCTCCATTGCTGGTGGGAGTGCAGACTGGTGCAACCACTGTGGAAGTCAGTATGGAGATACCTCAAAGAACTAGGACTAGAGGTCCCATTTGACCCAGCTATTCCCCTCCTGGGTATCTTCCCAAAAGAATTAAAAGAATCATACCACAGTGATATATGTGCACCCATGTTCACAGCGGCACAGTTTGTAATAGCTAAAGCTTGGAAACAGCCCAAGTGCCCATCAACTGGAAACTGGATAAAGAAAATGTGGTTTTTTAATAAAATGGAGTACTACTCAGCCATAAAGAACGAAAAACTAGAGTCATTTATAGCTAAATGGATGCACATCGAGGCCATACTCTTTTTTTTTTTTTTTGGTACCGGGGATCGAACCTGGGACCTTTCGCTTGCAAGGCAGGCGCCGGGACCACTGAGCTAAATCCCCGGCCCTAGGCCATACTCTTAAGTGAAATAAATAGGGCACATATGTGTAATACCGAATAGTTTCACTAGTGTGAGAAACTGATAGTGTAAACAAGGGTTAATATGATTAAAATGAATAATTGATAATTCGAAATAGGGAAAAAGGTCCAAAGACGAAGGAATGAAGGGAGGGGAATGGGAAAGGAAAAGCTATGAGAAAAGAAAAAAAAAATGGAAATGAAATCTATGTAAATAGGGAAGGGCGGAGGGGGTGAAGGGTGCACAGGTAATGGGGGAAAAAAATAAGAACCAAGATATATCATGTAAAGGTACAAACACCCAATGATAAGTGTAAACGAATTGTACACCTAAAATGTACCAATAAAAGAACTAAAAAAAAAAAAAGAATGGTGGGTTCAGAAGGAGAAGCCAAGAAGAGTGACACGGAAGCAGAGTGAAACTGGGCGGTGGGTGGGGGGTAAAGAAGCGATGGCACCACTTAAAAGAAACACTGAAGATCTTATATCTCTATTCAGACAGGGAATAAACTGAAAGCTACCACCCTGCACTGGTACTAAGCCCAGATTTACAAGATTGTCCCCTTGTCTCAGCCCCTAGGTCTACCATTCACTCAGACTCTCAGTAAACATGTATTACCAGTCCTTGAAAGGGATCCACAGATGGGAAAACATCGCCGCACCCCGCAACCTTGGAATTCGCAAGGGGAGACTGGAACTAAACAGGCTATTGCAGAGGCAAAGAGGAAGACAAAGCAGAATCGCAAGAACTAGGAAACCAATCGTCAGAAGGCACCCGCACACCTGGTCCATTGGGTCTGGGCCCACTACCGCCTCGTATTGCCAGACCCCGCTCCTGCCGCCACCGCAACCCCTTCTTCAAGATTGGCCTGGGTCTTGACGTCGCCATCCCGTTCAGACCTACAGACCTCGCAGCCACTGAACTGTATAGAGTCTCCCTCCTTCCTGGCGATCCTGCGGCTCCACAGGCTTCACTGAGCCGCGCCAGCCACCGTACACGAGGCCGCGGCGCGTACATGACGTCACAGAGCGCGACTCTCCCGCTTTAAGAACATGGCTTTTGCACGGCAGATTCGGCTCCTCACCTCTCGGTTACTTCTGATGCACAGACGGGAGCTGGCAGTCGGCAAGCCTGAGCACCCTCTGCCAGTAGTGCGCATTCCGCGGGCCCTACAGCGGCGGCAGGAACAGTCACAAAGAAGGCGTCGGAGTCCCCGGCGACTAATGCTTGTGAAACCTGGACCATTGCTAGTCTCAGCGCGGAGGCCAGAGTTCAACCAGCCCGCACGCCTCACGCTGAGCCGTTGGGAGTGTGCGCCGCTCGCCTCGCGTGGTTGGAGGCACCGGCGCTCGCGTCAGGATCATTTTTCTATCGAGCGCGCGCAACACGAGCCGCCAGCGCTGCGGAACCTCTCTAGGTGCAGCTTCGAGGACCTAGGTCTGGTTCCCCATATACTGCATGCACTGCAGGAGGCTGTGCCCGAAGTCGTTCGCCCCACAACCGTGCAGTCAAGCACCATCCCCCCACTGCTTCGTGGCCGCCATGTCCTTTGTGCCGCGGAAACCGGCAGTGGCAAGACTCTCGGCTACCTACTACCGCTGCTTCAACGGCTCATGGGTCAGGTACTCATGGACTCCCACCGTATCCCCACTCCCCGAGGACTGGTCCTTGTGCCTTCGCGAGAGCTAGCTGAACAGATACACGCTGTGGCCCGGCCGTTGGGCAGCTCCTTGGGCCTACAGGTGCGGGAGCTAGGAGGAGGCCACGGCATGAGAAGGATCAGGGAGCAATTATCGAAACAGCCGTCAGCAGATGTGCTAGTCTCCACTCCAGGAGTTCTGTGGAAGGCCCTGAAAGGTCGTCTGGTCAGTCTGGAGCAGCTCTCATTCATGGTGTTAGATGAGGCGGATACTCTTTTGGATGAAAGCTTCCTAGAACTGGTGGACTACATCTTGGGAAAAAGCCATATAGCTGAAGGCCCAGCTGACTTAAACGACTCTTTCAATCCCAAAGCTCAGTTAGTGCTGGTGGGAGCTACCTTTCCTGAAGGTGTCGGACAGTTGCTAAGTAAAGTCACCAACCCAAACTCAGTAACCACCATCACCAGCAACAAGCTTCACTGTATCATGCCTCATGTCAGACAGACATTTATGAGGCTGAAAGGAGCAGACAAAGTGATAGAGTTGGTGCAGATCCTCAAGCAGCATGACAAAAAACACAAGACTGGACCCTCTGGAACTGTCTTAGTGTTTTGTAACAGCTCCAGCACTGTCAACTGGCTAGGATATATTTTAGATGACCACAAAATCCAACACTTAAGGCTACAGGGAGAAATGCCAGCTTCAATGAGGGCAGGTATCTTTCAGCGATTTCAGAAGGGCTCCCGAGACATACTTCTCTGCACAGATATAGCTTCTCGGGGCCTGGACAGCACCCATGTGGAACTAGTTGTCAATTATGATTTCCCCCTCACCCTGCAGGATTATATCCACAGAGCAGGGAGGGTGGGCCGTGTGGGAAGTGATGTGCCAGGCACCGTCATGAGCTTTGTGACCCATCCCTGGGACGTGAGCCTGGTACAGAAGATTGAGCTCGCAGCTCGTCGAAGGAGAACCCTTCCAGGACTAGTGTCCTCAGTGGAAGAGCCTTTGTCTCAGCAACCCTGATTTGAGTTGGCTTAAGTGTGATGCTAGAGCAGTGATATTTCTCCATGACCTGGGTGGGGGAACATACTTGTAAGAACAAGGTTTGGGTTTGTCCTATTTCCTCCCGGAGGTCATGGTGAGCTGCATGTGGCCTTGAAAGGTAAACTGTTGGCTAGGGTTGGAGGTTCTTTTTCATGTGATACAAGAGAACTAAAGTAGATTTTGGATTTTTATTTTGTATCATGTTGTGATTTCTAAAAATAAATGATCGTTATATGGGCTGTGTTTGCTACAATTACCATCAGGGCAGAATTCATTGGATTCTGAGGATTCCCACTCCAAACCACCACACGTAGGTCAAATGCTCTTTGGTTGTGTTTTGTTTTGTTTTTCTGTTGTTGGTTTTTTGGGGGGTGGGAGGGAATGGTATTTGTTTTGGCTTGGTTTGGTTTGTGATGCTAGGATCACAGAACCCAAGGCCTCAGGCATGTGAGGCAAACACTACCACTGAGCTATGTCCCCAGCCTAATTGTTTATTTTCTTACACCTGGAGAGTGTAATGATAAAGTTATCATTTTGTCATGAATGTGCTCTGAATTTCACATTAAAGTCGGTCATTCCCACTTTGTAAAATCATTGGAGACCCTCATTTTGCCTTGGACATACTGAACATCATTCCCAGGGTCTGTCAACATCAAATGTGATGAGCTTATCTTCCCATTACTGTTAACTACATTTCTGGAGCCCCAAGATAAGCAATATGAAGCCCCACTATTGAGTGCAACTCCTCTTTACTAGTGTGACTTTAAGTAGGCCCCTTTACCTCTTCTTTTTTGAAACATTAGTTGTTAAAACATGAAGGTCGATTTTTAAATTTGCTTTAGAGGCAGGGTCTCACTAGTTCAGGCTGGCCTTGAACTCGGCGATCCTCCTACCTCAGCCTCCTGAGTGTTAGGATTACAGGTATATGCCACCATGCCTGGCAAACATACATCTATGATTGTACACATGGGCAGAACAAGACCAAGAAAGCCTTTTATTTTTATTTCTTCCCAATTGGAAGTGTTGAAATCTCATTTAGGCTTCAGGCCCACCACCAAGGAGTCATCACCTGAGCCTAATCCACTAAACTGTACTCTGCAACTGTAGTATACTAGGATCAAGAGCCACACAGAATGTGCCCTAGGTTAACCATGGCTCTCAAGAGCCAATTCAATCTCAGAATTCGCGATTCTTTTGCCCCACTATGCTCACTGGGGATGTGCCCACCTAAAGGTGTGCTCCATAGGAGGTGGCTACTTGATGAGGTTAGGGATAAGGAAGCCAAATAGGAAGGCCTAGGCAGGAGGGCTTCTTCTCACTGCTCTCTACTAAACACAGAGGGCCTAAAGCCTGCCCATCAACTTAGATTCCAAATGTGACCTCATTGGGTGGTGATGACATCTCAAGCCTGGTTTCCTTGGTAGGGAAATTATTCAAACGTAGGACCCCTTCCTTATCTGTTCTCTACTAGTCATCAGCCTGTGTGATTGCCTAGAAGAGAATGTCTGACTGGATCGTGAACGTTCATGTTAACTTTTCCTCTGTGCCCTGGGTGGCCATTGCAGCAGGTTAGGCACTGAATTGGGCTAGGCATCTGTGCAAGAGACCTTGGCATATGCACAACCTCATCACATTTCTTTTTGCTTGCCCTCCACACCTCAGGACTTCTCTCGTCATGAATAGGACCAACAGTTAATTGCTCAGTGACAAAAGCAAATGACATGTCTTCTTTGGGCAAGTGTTTAAAAAGGCCTTAACGATTACCAATATAGCTTTCCATTTAGGGCTACCAGGGGCTTCCTTCATAGCAGGGTGCTGTGGAGTGCGGCTATGGTCTGTTACTCTAGAGATTGAGGCACGAGGATCACTTCAGCCCAATAATTTAAGACAAGCCTGGTCAATGTAGCAATACCCGCTTTTTTTTTTTTTTTTTTTAAATGCTTCCTTTAGACCCTTTCTTGACTACACTAGCAAAACCACTGTGCTTTTGTTTGTGCTTTTGTGGAGCAGTTTGAGGAAGACCCATTAAAGGCCTGTCAAACCTCACCTTGAGACAGGCATCTTTACTATGCTGTCATGGAGAAACACATGGGCCCTCTCAGACACATCCAGTTCTGAGATGCTGAGTATTGGGGAAAGAGTAGTGTCATACAGCTGGACAAAAATCTTTGAGAGATAAAGTGCTATTAAGATGAGATCTGAGGAGAAGCATTCTGGGAAGTTGGACTGGTGCGAAAAGGCTGAGACTAATCTTTATCCTCAGAGACTGAGGGGATCCATTGCATTTACATTAGGATTCTCCAACTCTGTGGGAATGGGAGGAAGGCAGATCTCTGGTCTCCTGCTGCTGCTAGTTCCACAGAAGCCATGGGCTTTTACAAGCATCCCTTCCTACAGAACCTATGGAAGTGACAGGCCAAGGCTGTGATTGGGATGCCAAGTAGACAAGAAGGCTTCAGCCAGGAAAGTACATGATATGAGGAGGTTGTGGCAGCATGGTGTATAAAGCAGAATTGACTGGTAAGTTCTGGTTTTCCTTAATGCAGCAGTGCTACCCACAATTCCTCCTATACTACCATGTTACTACCATATCTTCTTTTTTTTTTTTTTTTTTGTACCGGGGATCGAACTCGGGTCCTTGCTCTTGCAAGGCAGGTGGCGGAGCCACTGAGCTAAATCCCCAGCCCCTACCATATCCTCTTAACAAGAATGTGGAGAAACCCAAGTGGGTTGGTATGAGGACCCACTGCCTGGTTGGTGACAATCAGGCATATAGGGATGTTTCCATTGCCACCCCAGCAAAGGCTGAAGCAGAGAAACCAGCACCTAGGTGGGCCAATGGGAAACCTTCTATTGTCACCCAGCAATGGTGGAAGCAGAGAAGCTACCATCCAGGTGGGTCAATGGGGACCCTTACACTGCCACCCCAGTAAAGGATTAAGAAGATCAGCCAGCATCCAGGCAGGCTCCCAAGGGACATAGAGTATGACCGAGACCAAAGTTCCTCTCTCCGAATTTGCCACTTGAATAATGGTGAAAGGATCTGACAGCTGGTTGGCTGAGCCCCTCTGTTGAGATGATTAATATTGAATGCTCTAAAAGAACTGATGTCTCTTCTGCCATGATAACCACTGCCTGCCACTGGAGATAAAACCCGAGCCATTCTTCCTGAGCCATCCTCAGCAATGACCCTCCTTCCATGCCAACAGCCTTGGGAAAGGAGCCTCAGAAACTTGGGTTTGGAAGGAGAGGCTGCCTTGAACATCCCAGGGCTGAAGCTGGCCTGGGAGAAGGCTTGACTTTCCTCTGCTGTACTGTTTATAGACCTTTCTTGGGCAGAAGAAACAACTGTCTGCACTCTGCAAGCCAAGGAGGTGTCGTGTGCAGAGTGGTCTGGCTGAGGCCCTATCAGTTTGATGTGCTTCTGCCCTGGGTAATTGCCAGCAAGCACCACCACAAATCAGGAAGGTGTAGCCTTCTTCAAACTAGAGAAAGTATGCACAGGACACATAGGATCCCCCTTCCTGGGCTCTCAGGTGGCAGAATAATGAGTCCCAGGGAGACCTGCTGTCCGTAGCAGGAATGCATGCACAAAGTCCAAGATCATGCCTCTGAGGCTTCAACAGTCCTTTCTTCCCAGC